TCATCCCCTCTCCATCCGTCTATTCCTATTCCCTCTACATTCAAAGTACTTGCTGTTATCCATCCTCCTCTTCAAGTACCTATACTTCTTCCTCCCACTCTCTCCTAACACACACCATCCTTTCCCTCTTCATTCCCCACCCTTACCACTCCCACCTGGATACTCACATGAATCCCTTCTGGTCGCAACAGTCTCCTTCTCTGGATCCCTCCCTTCCTGATAAATCTTCCTGATACTTCACCACCTTCCCCAGTCCCCGTATCGCCTTCCCTGGTTTTTTCTCCTCCTACTTCTCCACAGGCCATCTTACCCATGTTACCTGTTGATTGTTTCATAAGGATTTGCCAGTTTTCCTTAGACAGTGTTCCTCGTCTTTCCTCAGCCACAGATACTCTCCATTTCATCCAGTCATCTCATGTTCTTAACCCTTTCCTCTTTTACTAATCTCCTCTTTACTTCATTTCCTCTCCCTCTTTACCCTTTTCACTACCATGCTATCCTATAATGCTGTATAACCTTGAAGACATCTAACAAATTTTATCCTAATCATTAACTCATTTTTACCCTATTTCGCCACATTACTCTACCATAGTGCTGTATGATCTTTAATGTCTAGCACATTTATTTGTTTTTAACCATTAATCTTAACCAGTAACCATCTTTCTTACATATTTATGTGCACAACACCATTAAGGTACTTTGATCTGTCAGTTAATGCTTTATTGTGACATCAGCAGTTTTTCATGATTTTAGAAAGAAAAGAAGGCATAGCTAAGCATGCTAAATATACAAGAAATCTCAAAATTTTGTGCATATGCAGTTTCAGGTTATGTTTGTAAGCCCTGCAGTGCAGTCGTAGCATTCTCGTCTAACAATCTTGCTGACATGGATTCAGTTCCCAACACTGCCAGCGGATGGTAAATCTGGCCATTCCTTACACACAGGGGCAGTTTAGAAGCACAATAAACAGACAACCATAATTTAACAGGAGTCACAAGATCTGTTACACCAAACCCTGAATTATTATTATTAAATTATTATATTTACATTCCAGTTTTTAACTTAAATTTTCATAAATTTTTGTATATTATGATTGGTCTTTTGTAGGAATGCAATATATCACACTAAAGGGGCTCCCGCACTGGATGTTCTACAGGTACAAGTGACAAAACCACTTTAATTTCTTTCTTCCTTTCTTCTTATACTCTCAGAGTAATAGAACCTCTTTCTTCCAGACTGAGTACTCTTGGACAGCAAATATGGAACCAGAGGAGAAGGTCCTCTCGCCGTTGTTCCTGCATCAGGCGACCAGCAAGGGACTGGAGAGACTGAAAGCTGCAGATGCTCCTGAAGATGAAGGGATTTTCTTACCAGCCAAGCCTGACGCAACATTGGACAACCAAGGAGAGCAGGAACTAGAATCCAAAAGAAATGAAGAAATGAATCAGATACGAATCCATGACAATGTCTCGGATGACGACAGCGATGTTGACACAAAGAATATAATAACTTCTAGTAGGAGAAGAAAACCATTCTCTCGGATGATGAAGATTCTAATTCACTTTCTTCACGTCCTGTTAATAAAGGTTTCCTTAGCAGTGATGAAGAACAGGAAGAAGAGAAGGATTAGACAAGAAATCCAAGAGTACAAAAACAAAGAGGATTGTGCAAAGGATTGGCTCTGATAGTGATGACAGTGAATCTGAGATTTTCCCAAGGAACGCTTCTGATCAGCCAGCAGTAGCCATTAAGAGAACACAGTAGAGCTGTAATGTTGGCATGGACTAGATTATGGGTTCTAAAACTAGGGTTCCCCAAGTCATAGGAGTATGTAGGAGGGCTTTAGGATGTACAAGTATGACTAACAAAATTGTATAGACAAAAGGTTAAGGTTTTCTTTAGAATATATTTTGAGTTTGACCTCATATAAATATATATCTATTTAAATGAAATTGTGTTTATACAGTTTTCTATTTCACTTCGGATTACATTTCACTGACCTTAAAGGTCAGGGTACTTAGTAGGTAAAAGTTTTAGAATTTACACCATTGTCGGATTCTTTATGCTTCAGTGAAAGTTATTTTAAAGCTTATAAAAAATGTTACCATTCCATTTAAGAACTGTTTTTTGTAAAGTAAATCCAAGTGTATTTATTTTGTAACTGGAAGGAATTTTATCAGAAGAAAATCTTTCCAGAAACCATACAAGTACAACAGTGATCTGTTTGATGCTGAGCTGACAGATGAAGATGAGCCAAAAGCTAAGGTTGGGGAAAGCCTCTCTCCCCACGGCCACAGTATTCAGATGACGAGAATGAGAGTAGTGCAGTCACTAGCAAGAAAAAGAAGGTAAGAGTTGCATGTGGAATAAGTAGTGGCAGAAAAAGTATCTCATAATCCAAGTTGTTAGTCACATATTAACCCAATATTCCTGGGTAAAAAAAAAGTTTGGCAAGTGGATATGATAGCAGTGTTGTTGGCGTGTATTGACAGTTTCCCCATTTACACCAGGCTTGTTTGGTAGTTTTCAGGTGACATTTGGCACCTAAAAGCCTTAATTTTACTATAATTTTTAATGAAAAAAAAAATAAGGTATACCTTTGTAGGTGCTATTTCCTAAATTGCTTTACCGTAGAAATGAAGGCGCTAATATGGGGGGGGGGGGGGGGGGGACAAGCTCCATCCGATGAGCCATTGATGTAGGAATGGCTGTGACACAATGCCACCCGCTACTCTGTCCACAGCAGCCATGGCTTGTACATACATGGCACCCGGCTGCAAGGGGTTAAAAGATATTACTGCAGTAGAGAAAAATCATATATTTTGTTGCATGTGTTTCTAGATAATGTATGAATTATGAATTACTGTAAATATGTAATATCTTTCATATCATCTCAGTATCTTCCTATTTCTTTTTCATCATCAATGACAACTCCAGCCCATCATGATCATTTACATTCTTTTTTCTTTGTCTTAAATTCTCAAGAAATCATTGAAATTTCATATCCAGAACAGTGTTTCTATTAACCTTAGTTTCATTAATCTTTCTTAGAAAAAAGGTCCATCTTTGAAAGAGAGGCAACAGGAAGTTATGGACATACATAGTGAAACCCAACGAATGGTGCGTGATTCCCAGATATCTCTACCCTATCACAGGCCCAAGCAGAGAACTCTGGCAGAATTTCTAGAAAGGTAAACCTAGTAAGAAGTTATAATGTGGCCTTCACACTTTACACAATGGTAAAGGTTAATAAACTTCCATCGTGTGCATTCTGGAATTCTGATGGTAAATAACTTGGGATGTTTACGAGCTCCATATTGCCAGAATATAGTTCAGGTTTGCTAATCACTGTTATAATGTTAAGCTTAAATGCCATACCATCACACCATGATCATTATTCCTCCTCTCCCCCCTCCTTGTGCTCCTCTTCCCCCTGGTCATGCTTCTCTTGCCCTCCTCATGCTCCTCCTCCTCCTCCCTCCTCCTCCTCCTCCTCCTCCTCCTCTCCTCCTCCTCCCCTCCTCTTCCCCTTTCCCCTCTCCTCCTCTTCCTCTTTCCCCTCCTCCTCCTCCTCTTCTTCCCCTTCCTCCTCCTCCTCCTCCTCCTCTTCATCTCCTCTCCTCTTTCCCCTATCTTCCGCCTCCTGACCTTTTCTTTTCATCCTCATCTTCAGTTGAATTTGTCTGAACAAATAATACTTTATAATTGCCAGCCAGTTCTTGCTGAATGATTGATGTATATCCCCTTATTAATTTTATTTATGGCTTTCAATTTTTTCTCTTTCATTTAGGGAGTTTTCTTTTATATTGTATTTTATAGTAATGATATATATTTTTCCATCATAATTTTACAAAGATTGGTTAATTTGTATCTAATAATTCAGGTAATTCTAAAGTTTTGCTCTTGTGTTACAGGTAGAAATTTCTTGTAAAGGAAGTTACTGATACTTGCTTTTTTTTTTTCTTTTTTCTTCTTCTTTAGACGGAAGAAAGTTGCACCTTCACTGAGTCTCAAACACGGCAGCTTGAAGATGAGTATGCGAGATATGGCAACATTAAAGTAAGATTGCTTTAGTTTTTGAAATCTGACAGTGAATATAGCAAGACTTTTGTATTTTCACTATTATTTGTTGTTTTTATACAAAAGCTGGAAATGGGTCTACTGTATATCCATTATTTTATGAAGTACTTTCTTGCAATTTCAAGGAGTTATGTATGAACCTCTTCAATAGCAATGCATTCTTTCATTTAGGTTGTTAGAAGAAAAGAAAAAGGAAGTTGAAGAATTTTACAAATCAGACTCTGATCAAGAGGACCCGGAAGACAGAGACTGGACTCCAGGGAACAATCCTGATGGAGACCAGGCAGGTCAGGATAAAGAAATGGATAAGGAAATGGAAACTCAGCTTCCTCCCCAGGCTGGTAGTAATGAAGATCTTCCAGACATATCTCAGAATGTTGGCACCCCTGAAGAAGGCAAGACTGATAATGCTGAGGATTCTTCAATGCAAGTAGATAAGGAAGCTCACCCTGATATGGGAACCATGGTAGGGGAATTCACAAAGAAGAATGTAGATGACTCAGGTATTCAGAGTGGGGCTTCATCTTCTGCTGAGGACTCTCAGCCAGATCAGGATGTGGTAATGGAAGACGTTACACATGGTGCAAAAGCTCAAGATGATGAACTTGAAATAGAGGAATATCTTCCTAAAGCTGCAACAGAAGAAAAAGACAGTCTTGAAATAATTTCATCAGACCCAAAAAGCCCCCAAAACTCTGAGGCAAAGAGTGGAAAGAAGATTGAAACTCCCAAATTAAATCTTCTTGCATCAAAATTGCCAGACTTGGACCTAAACAAGATCACAAAGACAACCCCAAAGTTAAGTCTTGGAAATGACTGTGACTTCATGATCTGGATGAAGACCGACTGTAACACCAAAGAACTCAGGATTGAATGAGCTGATGAATCGCTTTGTTCGACACTAATACAAAGAGGAAACCGTAGATAAGCAGCAAGTGAATTTAAGGTATGTTGTAAAGATATAAAGTTTTTCCAAATTCAGGAGTAAAACAAATTTGACAAAGAAAACTTATTCTGTGTTAAGGACAGATGTATGCTACTTGTGATTATATGGGTTAAGCTCAACCCTAATCCACCTGAACTTAATGTGACATGCAATGGAGAACCTGCACTGCTGACATTGGGAATGCAAGTTTTCTCTCCTCCTCCTCCTCCTCCTATTTACATATAGATGGCTATAGAAGTACCTAGTCACCAAGGACTCAGTTAGGAGTCCTACTTGACCTCATCTGTTTATATACCCATTAGTTCACTTTTTGGAAAGAAACATTTTTATATCTGTTACTATTACTTTTGATAACATTATGATAATAATCATAATTATGTTAATAGTAACATAAGAGATAATGATAGCAATAAGAATATTTCTTTTCTAGAAAATTAACTAATGGGATAAACAGTTCAGATGTTATTCAACATCAAAGTGCGCAAGATGGGAGTTGATGTATTTGTTTGTATCTTCATCAGAAAATCATATATTTCTAATGGAGATATAATCAAAATGCACCAAATACACCTCTTACACTGTGAAATTATTCACAATCATTCATATTTCTTTCTGGATTAGTCATAATTAACATTCAGAGGTTAGGTATGCCTAGTAATTGACTTCATAGTGACAAAGCTCTACTGAAGCCATCTGTGAGTAGCAAAAGAATTATGCCTTGCTAGAGTCAGTGTTATAGGTTTTTTGGGCTGTGCTGGGGTCCCAGAGGCACCATTTGGTGTCTTGTAAACATTTATAAGAAATATATATGATGAATGTGCTAAACTTAGGCTCAGAAATATTCAGGATTTAAAGACGTACAATTTATCAGTTATATTTTTTATATCTTTTAGTGTTGTATCAAAGGAGAAGGGTGAGGATGGCTCGGAAAAGCTTGTATCATCCAACATTATTGTGAATCTCGATGCTGAAGATGAGGATATGGTGAGTTTTACATATTTCCTCAAACTGTCTACAAATTGATTCAAGAAAATGATGAAGAAATATAATCAGTACTAAATCTCATCCCATAGTATTATAGAAGGCTAAGAGCATGTTTAACATGGATTTCTTCTTTTTAGCCAACTGAAACTGTCCTGGAGCACGTCATATGTCCCTTAAAACCGCTCTCCAAGCAAAAAATCAGGAACAGCGAGAACGAGAGAGAGTACGGAGAGTTAAGGAGCGGCAGTTCATGGAGTCTGAGCAAGTCATAGAAGGTGAGTATTAGACATATTAGGTATGCCTCACCAATTCAGCTGTTTGAGTTCAGTTTTATTAATAACATATGAAATGGTTGAGATCATGCATGGGAAATGAGATACATTAGCCAGTCACCATCATTAAACCATGATCCTTATCCAAGTAGTAATGTTAGAAAGTAGAAAAAGTGTTAAGTTTTGTTGTTTTTTAGTCAGGACTATAGGTAAGATCAAGTAACAAAATCACCAAAAATAAAACTGCAATGGGCAGTTCATATATATAGCACCAATGAGTGAAATCGCAGCCCTTGACAAAGTTGTGCACTGCTAGTTTAGTGATTTCAATAATTGAATCTGCATTTCCATAGCTTTTGTTACCAAAACTGAAAAAAGAACCCTTTGATAAGCATATTCCTAACCAAAAGCTGTCAACATCCATGACACCTGTTGTCTGGGCTAAATAGGAACCATCAATGAAGTGTTGATAGCTGCTTGGAAAAATTTATTATCCAAGTCATCAATGAATATCAATATCATCTATAGTTCAAATTGTTTTTTTTTCTGTAATATTTATTCACCATTTCAAATTACAGTGATTATAAAATTATTTTCCTTAAGAAGTTGGGGGAGGATCAAAACGAAACAACTTGATGTAATATAACATTAGATTTTTCTTTCATTTTTTCCGGGGATGGCATATACGAACATGCTGTGGCTATTATTGATTTAGTTTATTTATAGTGTTTACAATGGCTTCACAAGTGCTTAGTCACCAAGGAGTCAGTCACTAGTCCTCCCTATTTCACCTTTTAACCCTAATTTACTTTTTGGCGGCTGAGTGCCAGTGGAGCTATCTGTGCACACAAAACAAAATTACAGGGAATGTTACATGTTTCCTGGTAGCATTGAATTAAAATGTTAGTTCATAAATTTTCAAATTCTTATTACCATATTTTTAGTACCTGTTTAGTGTGTATTTGTGTTTCATTAGTTGAAAATCACTGATATACATTGTATATTGTTAGTTGCAACATTATTGGGAAATGACAGATTCACTGATGTATGTATTTCATGATGAAAAGATTACCAAGACGATGGACCTTTCCTGGATGAAAAGGAGTTTAGCTGACCAGAGCGACACAGACTGTGAGTCCGAGCCCGAAGAAAATGACATCATCATCAAGGATAAGAAGCGCAAGAAGAGCAAATATCTGGATGAAGAGGCTGAAGATGACGATGAAGAAGAGGATGATGAAGCTAATGCAGATGAGGAAGAGGATGAAGAGGGTGATGATGATAATGATGATGGAGGAAAGTAAGTAGAAAGTCATGCTCATGACTTTTTGATATTCATGTACACATTTTGATGATCAGTTTGAGAGGGAAAAATTACACAGTAACCAGAAGTTGCCAACTAGACTTGAAGAAATTTTTAGAGAGAGAGAAAAAAAAAAAAAAAAAAAAAAAAAAAAAAAAAAAAAAATATATATATTATATAATATAATATATATATATATATATAATATATATATATTATATATATATATATATATATATATATATATATATATATAATATATATATATATATATATATATATTATATATATATATATAGTTATATTGTATGTGCTAGAGCTAGGAATTAGAACTTCTACTTTACTAAAGAATTTGATCTCATAGGATTTCAAAAGGCAGTTAGAGCATATAGTAGAGCTGGTCTTATTACATTATATTTATTTTGTTAGTGTTCTCCATTAACCCACTTATGACGTTGTCACATATGAGATACCTGGAAAAAATAAACAGTACTGGGCGTCCGCCGGTGTGACGCTAGATCGGAGCTTGCTCTTTGATTTTGTTGCTTGTGGCGGGCAGCGTGTGGGCAGGTTCCCGGACTTGCCTGCGTGCTGATTTTGAAGCAGTCCAGAAAATATTATTTTCGGCTTGAAAATGTATCGTCCCTAGTGGGTTAAATGGTTAAATATAGTTGTAATTGCACATATGCAAGTGTGTGTTTTTAGCATTGTTACAAAATTCAGGATATATCAATAAATGTACTTAATGATTTAAATGAAGTATGATGACGCAGCATTTACTTCTGTTTGAACTGTATTTTCACTAGTTTGTTCATTTTCACTAATTCTTGGCCAGTGATATATTCAGATCTTTTATATAAGTTCTTTTTTAATTGTTTAATTTAGTCATGAATTTTCTAATTTTATTTTGGACTAATTTCGATGTTTTCTCTGTTTGTAATCCTACAAATGTGGAAGTACTTAAAGTAATGCCTTATATCTCCATAGTCAAGAAGCAGAGGATGATGACAGCAATGATACCGTGGAGCTACCCAGCACTCGCAAGAGGATAATCATGGATGATAAAGATGAGGATAGTGATGGAGACCACTTGAAGTTACAGTGGGAAGAGTCAGAAGATATTAATGCTCAGGTCAAGTCCAAATCACTCATTGAAGGCTTGACACGTACAAACACAGAGGACCTCTTTGCCTCACAGTCTAAAAAAAGTGAGTGCTTTACTTATTTGCAGTGCGTGAAAAGAAATGAAATTTGTACTATGATAGATTTTTGGGCTAGATTTATACGTTTAAGAAGGCCAGTTATCTTTGCGTGTAGTTTATTTAGCAAGGTTTATATTGATCCTTTTTTAAGGACCATACAGTGGTTTATATGGATTTTGTGAAAATATTGCCAAATGTTAGTGAAAGTCCACTGGCTCATGTTTGCCAACTTAACCCCCTGGATCCGGTTTCAATGGTTACGTAAGTGGCCAGCATCCCAGACATGCAGTGTGTAGGCCGGGTGCACACGAGCACCCATGAGCGGTGACAAGACTCTGTGCCCCTTTGAGAACTTATTTTGTGAAAACTTTTTTAGGTATAATAAGGGGCAAAAAAATCATACTAGAAAATTAGCAACATTATATAGCATCTTCTCTTTCAAGACTGCAAAAACAAGCAGCTGTAGGTTATGAAAAAGCTGCTATGAAATGGCACATGTTTCACAAGCAAGATGTTACTTAATTTATTCCAATAGCCATATCTCCAATCTGGAAACCTTTTACTAGAATTGTTAAAAATAATTTATAAAGATTAAAAACCACAGAGCATTATGAATTTTAAGGTTACTTATTCACAGTGGAGATAAATGCAATTGTTAGACAGTGAATATTGCTCAAGCTGGAGGCTTCTGCTGCTTAAGACTCAAATTCTCTTGTTCTGTCTTTTATCTGAAGTGGTTATTCATTTTGATGTCCTCCTTCAGATTTTTGCTTAGGCTTGATGTAGTTCAAATCCCAAGGACAAGTGATGTTGCCTGAATGTCTTGCTCTTTCCTCATCTTCCCAGTTTCTAGAGCAGCTTTTGTCCCCTGCTCAGGACTCTTGTAAGGTTTTCTTCACATGTGCAGTTCTTGTGGTATCTTAAGATTAAATCTAAATTCACAGAAAATGTTCAGCAATCCAGTGACAAAGTGACACACCCACTGTCACTCTAGATACCAGAAGACAATGTTGTTCCCAATTCAGGAAACTACAAGAATATTTTTTATAAATGGGTTGATTAAAAAAAAAAAAAAGTAATAATGTTAATACACACACAAAGAGAGATAGAAAGATAGTGTCTAGAGACACATGCAGGTGTGGTTTCAACATATGGATTGACCAAATGCATGTAAATTCAGTGAGGGTGTTTCTAAGGGAAGGGGTGATTTTGAAATGTGTTTTACTTTTTCATGTATAAATTGTCCCTTAAATAACTATAGTGAAAATATTTTTTGAGTTAAATCTGGTATTTGATGAAGAAGTCAGAAAAAAAACAAAAGGAACTATTTAAGAAAGTCTGATAAATTATTAGCCAATAGTTTTGTGGAATTGTGCTGTTTTCAGTGTTACTGACCATTACTTATCTTGATTTTAGTGGACTCACTGGACAAAGATGCAAGCATTACATCCATGGATTCAAGTTTTGAATTTTTTGGATCTGTCATCCCTGGCCATCAGCCAGGTGGTGGACTACGCCGCAGTGGAGAGAGCATGCCCAATGAAAATGATGGTGAAACTGCTTTCCTTACTCCATTAACTAAAACTAAATCTGGCAGTTTCAGTAGTGTTGGGGTAAGTAGAGCCCCATTTCCAGGTATCTGAAAAAATGTCCTCATTACAGAAATCTTTGGTACATCTTTTATGCATCATTTATACAAATCTTCATATCTGTTACCACTAATAACTGTTCCTCCCTCTTTTCAGCGAGATCGTGACTTAAGCCTTCCCATAGAAAACTCTCAGGATCTCTTTATATCATCAGCACCACATAGTGCTCCTGGCTCTCCCTCCACAGAAGGTCCAAATCTTCACCTTACCCCAATAGAAGACTCCCAGTTTGGCCCTCAAGAAACGCACAAAGAAGCTAACCCTATGGCCAAGCTGAAGTTGGATTTCACAGGCATAGAGGGTTCCCAAGATGGAGACGAACTGATTGGCTTTGTTCTGGACAGTTTACTGGTAGGATTATATGGGCTTTCAATACCTTGCAAAATGTTTTGAAGCAGAAAGTATGAATATAATGTTACTTTTATCTTATTGAAACAAATATATTTACATTAGAAAAGAGAGAGACTATCGGCTGCCAAATTTGTTATAAGAAAGGTTATTTATTAATTAAGTATGAATACTAAAAGAAACAAACAAACAAAAAAGATGATGGAAATATGGATCATTTTGTAACAAACCCATGGTATCATTTGTCACTATTTTTATGATATGCAGGAAATCCATAGTAGTTAAATGCAGCCTTATTCTGTTTAAGAACATCATATATCTGACTGATTATTTGTATGTCGCATTGGAATTCAGTGTATGCAGCATGATTAAAATGTATAAAGTATTTTATATACAACAATTTTACACAAAATTTGATAAATAGATCTCTCACTACCGCCCTCTTTTCATTCTTTATATGTTACATCTCCAACCTCAGGTGAGAGATAGAAGAGAGTTGACAAATCTAGAAAAGGTAAAAATGAGAATCAATATCTTCACAGTACAACAGGTGTATTTTACTAGTTTTAATATATCTTCATCAGAATTACATGTATTTCTGATGAAGATATATTCAAAACCAGTCAAATACAATTCTTGTATTGTGAAGATATTCATACCTTTTCTGTAAGAGAAGGGAGTGATAGGAGATTTAAAAAAGGGACTAAATTTTTTATTTTAATTAATAACAGACTAACTACCAGGGCTTGTATGCCAAAACCTAAAAAATGCAAATTCTACAGCTTTTTATTTCATGAAAACTGATAAGACTACAATTCCATCCTAGATTAAAACAAGGTTCAATTGCAGGAAAGGAAGCATCATCAAAGGTAGACCAGTTGTGTGAAGAGGAGTTTGCCCCAACACAGGACATGAACAGCCTCATGGGCCTTTGTTCAGGCACCTTTGGTATGGAAGATAAAGACAGGCCCAATGCCTTTGCTTCGCTTACTGAGTCTCAAGACAAGAAAAATGAGGATGAGGAGGATGAGCTACTTGGTCTGTGCACCGGGAAGTTCACCATGTGAGTTATCTGTGTTTTAGAAATAGTTGCCACTGGGGAGCTTTTTTATCATATAGGACAATGAAACAGGTACTTGTAAGTACATTTTAAATGGTAAGAAGACAATAAGAAAAATTCGGACAGGAGGAGAAATTAATGCCTGAGTAAGTAGACAGTCTTGGGGGAGGGTAGTAGAGGCTGGGTGTTGACAAAGCAGTTATACCGAACAGTAACAAATGTACCAGCTCAAGTTCACATTATCTTTGGATAGGATCATGGGTGTGGATGGGCAAAACTTCTCAGATTTTACAATATACACATGTTCACATTCACAACTACAGCTTTGTGCCTAAAGAATTTGAGCTGTTTGTTGGTCATTACACAGAATACTAAATATAAAGTTTAACAAACCATGGTCTTGTTAAATAGGCATTAAGTTTTAAAGATTGTAGTATCTGCAAAAATCACTGTCCTTGTTTACTTATTTATTTTTAAGACCTGTCAGCAGGCACAATCGTAGACTAAATTTACCTATATCTTTTAATATTCTCTGAGACAATTGTGAACTACTCATAATTGTATTATTTGGTTTTCTGGAGGAAGTAAATTTGACACTCTTACTTTCAAGAGTCCTAATAGATTCATTTATAGGTGAATAACAACCTTTTATACAAAGTAATTTGATCATAATCATTTTTATACTTCATACATTTCTATGATTACATAATAAAGACTATAAGTATGATAATGATTGAGAATTGTAACAAGTCCATCATACTGCAACCACATTGTTTCTTATACTTGGCAGGGAAAATGCAAAGAAGTCTATAAATGATGGAAAGGAATCAAATGAAGATGAAGAATCAAAATTGCATTTTGACGACGACAGAACATCCTCACCCGTACCTGAAATGGTAGTATACTCATCAGATGAGGAAGAACCAGAGAGAAGGAAGAAAGTCAAGAAAAGGAAACGAATCTTGGCTTTCTCTGGTAAGTGAGCATATATATGGCCCCTGTGATTTTTTATGATTATTATTGTTGTTTTTGGTATAATTGGTATTATTGTTGTTGATATGATACATATTATTATTGTAGTCATTATTATTGCAACTTATTGTTTCTGCTTTTATTAATACTGTTATAATTTTACCTTATATCATTTACAAGTTCTTTTCAAGGGGTCATCATTTAAATTAAGTACATGCTCTTATTTTTGCATGAAGTTTTACTTGGTTAAATGTTCCATATGTAATGTGATGAGAAATGAAAACAGAACAGTTTTCTTTCTACTGCTTCAATCTTAATATCTATAATTTTAGTTGGACATAAAGTTCCACATATTTGTTGTTGACTTTACACCAGCAACACTTTCTGAGGTGCAGTTATACAAGCAGTTTCCTCATCAACAAAACTTGTAGCCAAGCACTAAAGTCTGCTAATTCCATACATGCCCTGGCCACACTGACCCATCACCCCAGTGTCTTAGGTCAGCACTAATTGAGGAGGCATGCAGAAGCATTGACTTTTATTTGGCAAATGTGAATCAAGAAACCAAAGTGTAGACAGATTTGGGTGTACTCCTGGTTAGCAAAAAGAGAAAGGAGTGTTTATCATGATTTTGACTGCTTAAAAACTCTTTTCACAACACGATCATGTAAACAGAAATGGCAGTGCATCCATAATCTGATGCTGAGATAATCAGTCATTGGACATTGGAATTCATGGGCATTTAATTTTTTCATGCCTTTTTGGCATGCAAAATCTGATGAAAGTTATTTATAATAATTTTCACAGCACTTTTTATAATGAGTAAACTTTTAAAGATCTGCAGTATTACATATATTTCACAAGAGCTTGAATTTATACAATTAAGAATGTGTTTCACTCTCATGGCTCTAATACATACCACCCATTAGATTCTCAAAGTGCAGTACTATAGTGTACACATGTATAAGCAGTGAAAAGAGAAAGGAACAACAATGGTCACAAAGAGGCCCACGTATGCCAGTCTCAACAAACAAGGTTCAGGGGGAATAGGAGGCTGGTTCTTGAAACAGTGCCAAATTTACTGCATGTTATTCACAGCAAAATCATAGAAGGAGACCTGCATTACTTTTCAGTAGAGGATTGGGGTAAGAAAGTAAGGGGAAGGGGGATAGCTGGGTGTGGCTAGATAGAAAATGCTCTACTAAACCAAATTTATTTTGAGTTCATATTTGAAGAAGCCCCATTCTTACCGGGGAAGAAGATGAAAAAGAAAAAAAAAGAAAAACAATTTGTGCATAATTGATGTACAAATGACAACAGAAAAAAATGTCAAGATCAATTGTTCTAGTTAAAATAGTATATATATTTATGTATGTAGATACATGTGCATATATACATTTTCTTCTTTCTTATTATTATTCTTAAACTTATTCTTATCCACATTCTCATTCATTTTGACCTTGTATTTTGAAGCATTACATGATTTTTGTGTTGAAATATATTAAATGACTAAATGGCTTA